CTGTCCCCAGCCTACACTCAAGGAAGCTGAGCCTCTGGGAGTTTACAGACTTGAGCTGGGTCACGCCATCAGTAGGTGGTGGGGCCAGGATTCAAGGTTCAAACCCAGGGAGCCTGGCCTTAACCACTCTGCTCCGGAGCCTTCCATCAGGATGGCCTTCCATCAGGATGCCTACCAGTCACACCAGGCTGGGTATGTGTGAAGTAAAACAGCACTCGGGGGAACTGCCTTTTAAGCTATTCCTTGGGGCAGGTTTTTCATCATGCCAAATGCAAATATTTTCTCTGCTGGATTTAAAGGAAACTAATGACAATCAAGTACTGGTAACTCTAATACACTCATTTGTTATTTGAGAACAGCTTCGTATAACTTGCAAACTACTTCTTTGCAAAATCTGTGATACTAAGTTTTAGAGGCAGAAGGTATTCAGAGACCGTGTTTTCAATCAGTGTAGTTATAGGAGCCTCACGGTCACAGGGTTGAAGTTTGAATCTCCAACCAGTCACTTTCTGAGTGGCGCCATGTCACCATGTCACAGCCCACAGGGGCTGTGGATGCACGTGGAACTATGAGACACTCCTCGGGTATTTTTAGCTGACTGACTGGCATCCATTCACTCATGTGATGCATGTGTGTGTAATACTGGTCCTCAGAACAAACATCAGTTATAAACTTTCTTCTCACTATAAGCTCCTCAGGCTTTAAGAGGAGAAAGATGAGGAAAAAAAATATTTTTGTTTCATCATCATCATCATCATCATCAAAAGCAGAAGCCTCCATCAAAGGTCCACCTGTGAGGAACATAAATGAAATTCTACCCAATTCTTTCTTTTCTCTTTACACTTCTTCATATACAGACTCTTGGATGTTAAACAAACTGCCTTTCCCACTTGCTTACTGAACATGGATGGCCCCATGAATAAGGAAACTTAAGGAGGCTCCTCTGCTTTGATGGTGAATGAGGACTTGGCCATTTACTCTTCAAGGAAAAAGAACTTTCCTATTCAGTGTCTTCAAGCTTTTCATGCTACACATTCCATAAAGTCTGGCCCCATTATATTCACTTAGGACTTTTTGAGTCATTCCAGATCATGTTGGGTCACACCAAAATACTTGAAAATGCCTATTCCTAAAACAAAGACATTTATTGACAAGGAAAGTTAAGAAGAGGAAGAAATAAGACCACATGCTGGTGTCATTTCTACTTAAGAGAGCAAAGATTCTGGGAAACTTATGTACGTTAGATTTATAAGCCGGCACTTTTTTTCCCCCAAAGATTTACTTGGCATGAAAAGTTACTTCCTGTACTATATAATCATAAAATCAAGTGTTATTTGCTCCTATCAAAACCATTCATATACTTCCTGTCATAAAACCCTGAACTTGGCTGGAGTATTAAATAAAACATGAAAAAAAAAAAAAAAACAACCCCTATAGGTAGGAAGTGATCATAACGATATGTATCATTACAAGTTCATTTTCCAATCTAAGCAAGGGACAAATCATCCTTTCCTGGAAAACCAGCATTATGCTTTATTGTCTTGGGTGACTAGTCCCATTTATGGCCCACAGAATGAGCTTTAAAAGTAAAAAAGAGCTTTGGGGCACCTGGGTAGCTTAGTTGGTTAAGCGTCTGACTTCGGCTCAGGTCATAATCTTGCAGTTCATGAGTTCGAGCCCTGCGTCAGGTTCTGTGCTGACAGCACAGAGCCTGAAGCCTGCTTCAGATTCTGTGTCTCCCTCTCTCTGCCCCTCCCTCACTCGTGCTCTGTCTCTGTCTCAAAAATAAACTATAAAAATAAAAAAGATTAAAAGTAAAAAGAGCTTTATTTACTGAGTTAATCAATAGTTTTGTGGCAGCTTTAAGGATGCCTCTCAGAGGTACTGTGGGTGTCCTGGGCTGCAATATAGACTTGGAGATGTCATGGCCTGGAGTTAAAATCATGAAGATACAAAACCGTGCACAGGGCAGGTATGTACATTTTTAATGCATGGACACATTTTTCTTCAATGCCTGCATTCTTCTAAAAGAAAACAAGCTTCTAAATTCCTAGGCTTCCGTGTGTCTAGAGGGAAAAGCAGAGACCGTGGTACAGACACCATGACAGAAGAAAAGTGTGCACGAACAGATTTGTTTATAAAACAGGGCCCGGCAAAGTCTGTCTCTTGGTACCACAGCAGGAGCCATCCAACAAAACATACACAAATGCAGAAGAATCTATGGGGACAAGTCTCCTTTCTGATGAAGATACAACAGTTAGTGACTGTAACCGGGCAGGAAGTTACAACAATGTGGCTGGTCTCACACTGGGAATATGTCACAAAGTCCAGGTGCACATATTCATATACAGAGAGAAAAAACAGTTCCAATGCTCCTTATCTGGCATTTTAGTCTCAAATGTATTTCTTCAGCACTGGTGTTTTCTCCTACTTCTAATCCTACATATTTCCATCTGGACAGGGTGGTCCCTTTAAACTTGTTAGGAAAAGAACAAAATCGAAACCAGCAAATTTCTACTTATTTTAATTTAATTAATCGTATGGCCATCCAGCCAAGTTTCCAAGTTCAGCCTCTGCTGCCCTCTTCACGGAGCCTCGTAAAAAAGCACCCATCTTCAATGACCACTGCCTTTTTCCTCCCCCTTCCTTTCCCACTGCCAATAAACATGGTGGACCTCTGTTCCCGGACAAGCATGGTGGCCTTCTTAATTGGTTCCCTTGACAATGAGCAACTATGTGATGGGAAAACACAGTATGGAGTAAGAAGATGGGGTTCTGGGTTCAGCTCTGCCAGATACAAACCATGTGATCCTGGGAAAGCTGGGTAATTTCCTTGGGCTTCAGTGTTCCCATCTACAACATGAAGGAAATGGTGATCAAATCATGTGGTCTAATCCATGATGTATACAGTCACCAAGTATAATCTTCCAAAATTTAGTTTCCTCAGGTCATTGAAGACCTTAAAAACCTTTAGTGACTTTGCTAAAATTTAAGTTCTTCAGCTTGAATTAAATGTGACAGTCTTGTATAAACCAGAAGGCACCACACAAATGCAACACAAACCTTACCAGGGAATATTTCTCATTTTGACTTGCATGCACTATGTACTATTCAAGAGTTTTATAACTATGGGCTCTAATTCCCATGACCAGTGTGAAAGGTTGGTTTTATTACTCTACATTACATTATTAAGAACCTGAGGTTTTCTGAGTAACTTACCCAAGGTTCTAGAACCTCGTTAAGGGCCAGAAAAGTGCATACAGACATACATGTGTTTGATTATCAAGCCCACTAAGCTATATTGAGTGCTTTAAATGTAACGTGATATGGAAGGGTCCCTAATTACTTCAGTGATCATACTGAGTCCCTGCAGTGGCCTGGCTGCACAAGGAAGCACATCATTGTAATATGAAAACACTGACAAAATGATCACTTAATGCTTAGTCCTCGACATCGGCATTTATTTCTGCTCACTTTTGGTTGCTAAGTATCACAGAATTGATACTTACATTGCAAATGCAATGTAGTTCACTTGTGAGAGTTAATTTGCTGAATGGTTAATGATGGAGGAAGTCAAAGTCAACAGCAGTGATTTCATGAGAGGGAGCCTCTTCAAGACAATAGTTTGTATATCTGAAAACGAAACTAAGAGAGGCCCTTGGGAAAATCACTGTCTTTATGATTCTGCGGCAGAAGTCACTGTTGAATTTTGTTCTAAGAAATAACCTACTGATGCATCGTATCCCAAATTTCTTTTCTATAATATAAGACAAATTTAGATTCAGCTAATTTTTTAACTTTTCAAGACTTAGTCCTAATAAAATCTCTTAAAATAACTTTTTTCTTTTTTACTGTTTGTTTTAAATGTCTGATTCAGTTTTAAGTGGATTCTCTTAAAGTAGTAGTTTTCTGGTGCCAGTCCTCTTCATATTATAAGGACCTTATGAAATGGCAGTGATAAAAAAAGGAAGAATGAAGGGATTACTGATGGGCAAGTGGCAGTCAACAAAAAAAGGGACGACTTTCCTGGTCCACAGATAGAAAGTAATGTCCTGCTTTTCCTCACTTCAAGATTCTTGGGCTCACTTAATCCAAGACACCCATGAAGATGCCACACTCTCTAGCTCCATGCCCTGCTCTCCTCACTGCATCTGTGGGGACATAGGTGAGGCATCATATGGCAAGTCTGACTGTCCATGTGAAACTAGACTGCAGTCCACTAAGCTCAGTGCAAATCCCAACTTTACAAGACTCACCTCATCCATTTCCAGCTTTACCCAGTTTCCTGATGATCTCTACTTTTTTTTTTTCTCCCCAGAAGACAAGGGTTTATAATCTGGAAGAATTTTGGCTTCTAAGAATTCATTTTAAAAAGGCACCACTGTATCCAAATCCTTCCCAATATAAAAACCAATATAAAACTAAATGGTTTTGAGGGCCCCTGGGTGGCTCAGTTGGTTAAGCACCCAACTCTTGACTTCAGCTCAGGTCTTGTGTTGGGCTCCGTGCTGACAGAGCACGGAGCCTTCTTGGGATTCTCTCTCTCTTGCTCTCTACCCCTCCCCCGCTTATGTGTGCGCATTTGTGTGCACACTCTCTCTTTTGCTCCAAATAAACATTAAAAAGAAGACATAGTATACATATATAATGGAATATCATTCAGCTATAAAAAAGGGAAATCTTACCACTGGAACAACATGGATGGAGCTAGAGAGTATAACACTAAGACTTTCAGAGAAAAACAAGTACCATATGATCTCACTCATTTGTGGAATTTAAGAAACAAAACAAATGAGCAAAGGGGGAGGGATCCCTAGACTCTTAACTATAGAGAACAAACTGATGGTTGCCAGAAGGGGGTGGAGTGGGGGGAAACAGGGGAGGGGGACTGAAGAGTACACTTACCATGATGAGAAAAAAAAAATACAACTAAATGGTTTGGGTTCCTGCAAATATCCTTCAATCATAGGTTCAGCAAAGGGCTATTTTGAGAATGATTTAATGGGATTTATAATATAAAACCTCAAATGCATATTAACTTAACCAGGATGACTCTGGAAACAGATTGTGGTGGTTGTGCTTTTTCTAGTGACCATAATGTCCACTTCCAAGAATCTAATAAGATAATGCCAGAAAGAAACCCAAGAAGGTGTGTGCTCAGGAGATGGAGTCTTAAGTTGGTAAACTGTGTCAGCAATCAGAACACACTAAGTGAGTTTTTCATCTTGCAAAACTGTTATCCTCCGTAGGGCTCTTGGCCTGCTCCTAAAGAGACAGCAGTTCTGCGACACTTTCAAATAGCTCCTTCCTTCTGAAAAGCAAAAAGTCTTCTTCCTCACTGAGAAAAATCGAGAGCCGGTGATGGACACATCACAGTAGAGATTCTTTTTTCTATGTACAAAGGATATAGATGCTCAGTAGTGCACAGTCAAAATTAATACTTAAGTACATACAAGGGCCCTTCTGGAATTCGGCAACCTGAAACTGGGGAACGGGGCTGAGCAGAAGTGGGATGGGGGGGAAGAGGAGGCAAGACAACAGGTCTGGACTTCTGACTATGATTCCCAAAGACGTTTAACACGGGAATGGTTTTCTACACAAAGTTTTCTAGCACTGATCCCAAGGGCAGCATAAGGATGCTGCTGCAGAGATTAACAAAGGCTGCTGATAAGGATATTCTCTCTTTTATGACAAACCAGAAGGCGAAGATGCAAGCGGACCATGCCCAGCAACGCTGCAGTTCCATTCACAGTCCTCAGAAGCAGCGAAGGCCGTGCTTCGGGAGCTCGGGATGGAATGCTTGTTTTGGAGCACGTCCAGTGGAGAGCATTTGGTTTCCTCCATTTAACCAGGTCACCCAGGCATGGAATGCGCAGCTCTGCCAGACAGAGAGCGTTTGGGATGCCTGAGAAACAACAGCTTGTCTGGGCTACTGATGCGAAGAGAGGCCACGGTTTCCTTTTTCTCTGCTCTGAATGGCGGCCTTGACGTCACAACAGTGAGGAACCACTGGAGGGAGGGCTAACAAGGCACAAAGCCAAGAGCGCCCTGCTCCATTTGCAGGGTGGCTTTAATCTCATTCTGGGGTCTCCTCTGGCCCCAGAGCGTCAACATGAGCAGAGATAAATGATTGGAGGTAAAAATAAAGGCAGTCTCTGCGCTGATGAAACAGGCCTCTGGCCACGCTCCTCACCACCTTCCAGAAACCTGGAGAACTTAACAGTTCCTGAGTTAAACGTGTTTTGGACAGAGGAGACTTCTCAGGGGAGTGTCCGCAGTGATTTTGCTGAGGGTTCGGCCATCCGCACTTTCCCTCCAGAGCTAAACTTCCGGTATTTCAAAACCGAGCTCTTCTAGGAGGGACTGGAGTGCTAGGTCCTAGGAGATGCATGGAGCTTGTAAGAGCGGGCAGACAGTCTCTGCAAGAGACTGGTCTTGTTTTCTGGGATAAAAACACCCTTTAAGGGATTTTATAATTTGAGTTCAAGCAATCAAACATGCTCATTAGTACCTACCTGCAGGTGTCTGAACAAATGGCAAGCACTGTTTCAGACGCTGCCAGGTTCAACTCACCACTACTTAAAGTGAGTGGTCTGTGTTAGTCCTCAGAGCTATCTGAAAAGCATGATCTTTCATGTTTCAACCTTAGTACCAAAATTATAATTCATATTTAGCTAGGTGAGTGTTGGATCATTTATTTCCATTATAAATGCAAGGCTAGCTACAGACATACCAGGCAACGCATGGACAACAGTCTTCTGTTGTCACACGCTTGCCCTAAGTTCAGTCCGCTGCCTCGGGAGCACTGTCACCAAACCCAAGCCCTAGCCTAAACTCACATGGCATGGGGCCCTCTGGGACAGATGAAGCTGGAAAACCAAGGGCTGAGGTTGCCTGTGAGGGTGTGAGTGCACACGCACGCATGTGAGATGTGTGGCAAAGCATGACGTGGACAGCAATGGGATACCTGCTCCCGTGACTTTTGTGCTCACATTTGGAAAAGTTCAGCAGAAGAAACAACATTCCTGAGCTACTTGTCCTTTTTAAATCAGCTATTTCTTTTCTTCCTTTTTAAAAATTTTATAGTTTATTTATTTATGAGACAGAGACAGAACATGAGTGGGAGAGGGGCAGAGAGGGAGGGAGACACACAATCTGAAACAGGCTCCAGGCTCTGAGCTAGCTGTCAGCACAGAGCCTGATGCGGGGCTTGAACCCACGAACCACGAGATCATAGCCTGAGCCGAAGTCGGACGCTTAACTGACTGAGCCACCCAGGTGCCCCATTTCTCTTCTTAATTAAATGAGTACTCCCAATGTGGTCATAAGGTCAATCTTGCTTTAAGAGAATAATCTGCTACAAAAATTTGCTTACTACTTTCAAAGATAAAAGAGGGTACAAGTCTGATTCCAAACTCTCTTTTAAGACCCCCCTACACCAATGCCACCCTTCTGCCTAAAGGCTGTCCTGATCAATCCTCACCCTTGACAGGTGTCTGAGGCTACTCTGGTGTCAGATGATCTTACCTGGGTAGACAACAAACTCTATGTTTTGTTCCTACTGTTAAAAAAATCTCCCAAGTTACGTTCAGTGATTAAATAATGGAAAAATAATGGAGAAGATGCAGCAAAAATTGTTTAATACATTTTCTTTCAAATGCTGGTTACACTCAAGAGGTGAAACTTATTCTAGCTCTACCTGTGTTTTTATTTTATAAGAGCTTTTTATGGTTTAAGAACTATAATTAAATTTCTCCGACTGATTTATGAAACTTAAGCTTTCAAGAAGACAATGAAGGGATTTCTCAAACTTAAGGAAGACAATTTATTTTTGTCTAATGTAAGAGATGAGGGAATGAGAGGGAAATTTTTTTTCCATCCGGATCTTAACTAGAATTTTCTAATGTTCAGATTTCTGGTTATAAACCATAGTAAACAATCAGTCATTCATTAAGGAGCAACTATTGAAAAGGCGATATTTAAAAGAGGAAAAAATAAAACATGATGTTGATTAAAACCCTATGCACGTCTTCACTTCAAGGCAAACGCTGCGCCCATCTGGGTATTTAGAAGGTGCCAAATATCATTGGGATCTAGATTTTAATTCATGTCATAAAAAAAGCACTGCATTTAATTTGCTCAAAACAGACCTAGAACCTCATGGAAATGATGGTGGTGATAAGGAAAGTGAAGTGAACTATTATTAAAATGAGGTGTTCCATTTTTCAATTATTTAAAAATACAGGATCGATCACAAACGTGAACAAACTTTCAGTGATCTAGTGTCCCACTACTATTGCTCCTGTTAGGAAATATTCAAAAATTAGTCGGTTTAAAAATTCTGGCTCTGTTTAGTTGGGAGGTGGGGGGGGTAAACATTTGTCCCCAGGGGACTCCAAGGCAGGCCTAAGAATTAATAGACTGTAGACCCATTACCTGAACTGAAGGCACTGTTTTCTGCTTATGTTAGTGGGGAGTGAGGGCTGGGAAGAACCGGGGTCCACATCCCTCTTCCAAGTGACAGGAAACTGGAAATGCGCAGGGTCAGCAGCCCCCAGCACACGTGCAAAGGTACCCGTGTTTAGAAGGGGATGTCTGTGCTGGACGACCTGTTGTCCAGGGCGGCCACCCTCAGGGACGGTGGCTTCCTTACGTCCATCCACGCTCTCTTGCCCATTGAGTCTGGCATGAACAGCAGATCTGATCCCTGTTTTCAGTCTAAGAGCATTGACAGGATTGTTGTATGAATTTTCTTCAGAAAAGACAGCTACTGTACACACCACAGAAATGACCCCTGCTTTTTCCAATTTCTCTTTGAAAATAGTAGAGAGTGTGTATATCCTAGGTCTAACTATATTTGTGAAAGAAAATTTAAAAAGATTTTTCTCCTCCACTCTATCACAGCTCAACCAACATCATCATCTGATCCTATAATGTGCATGTGAAAAGCTAAGTTTCCACATACTGTCACTTGTGCTTATTAGAAAAAACTCTGTAAGTGTCTATGTACCAATGTACGTTTACATCTGTGTATCAATGTATCTGCCTATGTATTCTTTACCTATAGGAAAACAAACTCCTAATACTAATCTCTAACAGTGTTTCTTTACTAGCTACTTTATAAAACCAAGGTCTTTATGCTTACAAATCTACCCTCTAATAGGTTAACAACAGATCAGCTCTGTCCTTATCCTGAGGTTCTGAATCTGTTCACAGAGAGTGACATTCCAGTGTTCTCTAGATTTGTCACCATACATGGTCTTGTCCTTCATGGCACGTCATAACCTGCAGCTGCCTTTGCGTGCTCGCATGCCACTTGCTGCATCCACTAGCTTGCAAACCCCATGAAGGAGTAATGTCTGTGTTATCTTTCTATCAACACTGTGGATGGATGGAAGGTGGGAAGGGAAGAGGGAGGGAAGAAGAAAGAAGTTTTAGGGAAGGAAGGGAAGGGATGGGACAGGATGGAAAGGGAGGGGGGAGGGGAGGGGAAGGGAGGGGAAAGGGGAGGGAAGGCAAGGCAAGGCAAGGGAAGGGGGAAGGAGGGAAGACATATCTCAACAGGAGCCATGCTGGTTCCACCGTCAGTAAACAGAAGGAGGACTTTCACAGTTTCATCAGATTTTACATTCATTGATTTTTAAAGTCTTTGTAACTATTACCTCATCAAATCTCATAACCCCAAGGGATCTTTTAGCATTAAAGTAAAATGATTTTTTATGACACAGAAGCACAGAAGTGAGGAATTTGCTCCTACATCTTTTATGTTGTGTCTATACAACAGCCACTTAAAGCAGGACGGTCTGCTTACTGACCTTTCAAGTTACCTGTTTGTAAATACAGAGCCATTTCTCCAAGTGGATAGTTTAAGAATTGTGTGTGATAAAGGTCCAGCATTTCTTCCCTTTTTATTTACTCTACATACTTGAAAACGCAAAACCCCACTTTTAACTTTGGATAGATTTATGTGCAGGAATAACTAGTTCTCCAGAAACTCTTCTCAGGGCATGTTGGGTGGCTCAGTAGGTTGAGCATCCAGCTCTTGGTTTCAGCTCAGGTCATGACCTCATGGCTCGTGGCATCAAGCATCGGGCTCTCTGCTGACAGCTTGGAGCCGGCTTCAGATTCTCTCTCTCCCTCCCTCTCTGTCTTTCTCCTACTCTTTCTCTCACTTTCTCTCTCTCAAAATAAATAAACATTAAAAAAAAAAGAAAAGACGGGGCACCTGGGTGGCTTAGTCGGTTGAGCGTCCGACTTTCGCTTAGGTCATGATCTTGCAGTTCGTGGGTTCGAGCCCCGCGTCAGGCTCTGTGCTGACTGCCAGCTCAGAGCCTGGAGCCTGTTTCAGTCTGTGACTCCCTCTCTCTCTGACCCTCCCCTGCTCATGCTGT